TGATGGCTAAAATCCTTGCAAATCTTCAAACAGCATGTAAGTGTTTGTTTTCATAGCTTCAGAATTTGTCACAAAGTTTGAAGGAACAGGGTCTAAAAATACAGCAAATTTACAATGCTTTTAAATGTAAACAAGTGATTTTTATAAAAAACCAAGTTTTGGAAAGAGTGGTTTCTTTTATTCACTGCCACACAAGCAACAATTCGCATTGTTTAAGCATTGAAAGTCTTTCAGAACCTATTTTCAGAGCTATTAAAGGCATATTTATCACTGCTGCATAACTGAGATTTCTAACCTGAGTGCATTTCAGTTCCCAGGTGCAGAGCAGAATTAGTGTTTATTTGCCTTCCTGCACAAGAGAAGTTTTCAGTGATATGAGCAGATACATATTTTGAAAGAATCATAAGACATTTATAGCATCATGGATTTGAAACAAATGTGTATTTGAATATCTAATTAACTTTAAAAAAAACCCAAGCCAATGAAATGGGACATTTTACTTGAATACCACATGTTGTATAAAGTATTTCTACCCTCATTTGAAGACAGCCATAGAGTGAACATTCGCTGCCTTGGAGACACAGATATTGGGCAGGGAATGCATGCAAGGGTTTCATAGATTATTTCCTTTATTAGATGTGAAAATTTCACAAATCTTCCCTTGTGGCTATTCCTCACCCTACACTACTTGATACACATGTTCCTTGAACTGGATTATCTCTCCGTTGACTCATGTTCATGGGGGTCCTGGAGACAGAGGATCTGGTTTTTGATCCACTTGTTGACTCCAGAATTTTGGAAAACTATTAACTTCAGGCTTGATTCTTCATCAATAGAGTGGGCATAACAATGGTCCCCCTCAGAATTGTGTGGAGAAGAGAAATGTTTACAGAAGATTTGGCACAATGCCTGGAATGAGGAACCCTGAATTAGTAACTGAAGGCTCAGGAGCACCTTGCATGGCTCCTGCATAAACAACAGAACATCTTCTCAGGCTTCCAAGTCCTTGTTAATTTGTCTCCTTCTTACCTCAGACAAATCTCCAAAATTTTTTCACACTTTCATCTTTTTAAAATCTCATACAAAAAAAAAATTGAAGCCTAGTCACTGTGTAGTGTAATTAATGAATGATTGTTAAAAATATTATTCTCATTAGGAAAAAAATAGAGTTCAGTAAGAGTCAAGTCCTTTAGCTAAGGGAAGAGCACTCCTCTCCAGGTGGACTTCAGGCTGTGGTAAGCAGGTAGAAGGTGCTAGAACACAGCTCAGGGCCTCTGACAACACTGTGGCAGCTGCCACTCAAGCAGCCTACAATGCAAGCTGACCCAGGTTCAGGGATGAAGGGAGGTGAGCCTTGGGCTTCATACCTGACAAGGGCTCTAAAAGCCACATCCAAGGCTACCTTTATATCTGTCATCTCAGATGACAGAAAACAGGCAGAAAGAACAGACCCTATGTGCAGGAAGGAAAGGCACGTGTTAAGTCACAGGAGACATTGCATAGGGTTAACAGCCTCAGGACAGATTATGGAGAGACTTCAGATTTAGTTGTGGGTGCTGCATTTCAAGAGGGCTGCTTGGAAGGTCCTGAATAGAACAGTATGGGTGCCCAGGAGGTACTTGGCACCATGGAGGGAAATGTGAACCCTGGGTGGCCACAAAACGGCCCATTCCATACACTGAGTAGTTCTCTTTTCCAGAAGGGATGTGTCCTGATTCTGTAAGGCTCCAAGAAAGGAGCAGGTGAGAATTCAAGGGACACTGAATTTGATAGAATATCAAAATTCATGTCATCAGAGTGTGCTCTGTCACTGAAGAGATCAACAGGATAGCTGCCACCGGTTGGGACAAAAAATGCTCTAGAAAATCTGATTGACTTTAGACTGTTTGATTTTTTTTTTTAACTTCTTACAATTTTTATACCTGTAAATAATTAACATTTTTTTCATTTCAAACAAATTTATATCACACTTGTGAAACTAAAACGATGCCTAGCTTCATCTGCTCTCACGGTGTTGATAATTTAACCTACTCATTTTTGTTTTGTGCTATCCATTTTTTTTTCCTGGATGGTCTTTAAGGACCCCCGTCTTTCCAAGAGTTATGGTTCTATAGGCTCTGGATTTTCAGATACAGGGCGAGTATTCCTGACCTGGAAATATAATAACAAGACTGTTCCAAAATCCCAAATGCTTAGGGGGCTGCCATGATATCTAACAAGTTTTAGATTTTAGAGCATTTCAAGTTTTGGACTTTTGGATTGGAGGACACACAGCCAGTTAACATTTATAAGATGGGCATTATTATGAGGTTATAAACTTCTCATCACTATAGTCATGAACTACAAGCTGGCTGAAAAACAAACAAAACCCCTAAAATATAGAGAACTCCAAACTCTGAAACCATTCTGGTCCCAAGTGATTCGAGTAAGTGATGGCCAATCTGTGATAGGATTTACAAAAGCTGAACCCTGCTGGCAGTGATGTTTACTGCACACAGGAAACCAAGCTTGCTGAGGGCATCTGGCCACATCATTTCTCAACCTCTTCTATTGCTGTTCTTTAGTTTGATAACTATTCAGCAGCTACAGTGGTTTTCTTTACTTCATCATAATTGCTAAGTTTGCTCCTAGATCAAGGAAGTGGGCACTGCTCATTCTTTCGTTTTCCTATCCCCTTTGCTGACTTTCACCTGGCCAGGCCATTCTAAGATTCTCTGAAGCTTAATATCAATGGAAATATCTCTGGGCATATCTGAGAGGGAGTTTCCAGGTGGCATCATTCCATGGGCTGAGGTCCTACAATGAATGGAAATGAGGATGAAAGCTCCTCACCTACAGTCATCCCTCCTCTGCTTCCTGACCACAGACATCATGTGACCATTGGCTTTATGCTCTTGTTGTCATGGCTTCCCTCTCATCTGGACTGTATGCTCAAACGGAGACCCAACGTACTCCACACCTCCAAAGTTGCTTTCATCACAGCAGTAAGAAAAGTAATTGACACAGTTCCTGTGGTCCTAAACATTTCCTCATCAAGCCCCACAAATAGTTCTATCACAGTGGTTCTCAACCTTTCTAATGCAATGACCCTTATTAAAGTTCTTCATGTTGTGGTGACCCCCAACCTTAAAATTATTTTGTTGATATTTTCTAACTGTAATTTTGCTACTGTTATGAATCATAATGTAAATATCTGTGGAGCTAGTGATTTGCCAAAGGGGTATTGACCTACAGGTTGAGAGACTATTGTGTGGACTCAAGTTGCTTTATTGTTCTGGAATGCTCTTTCCTTCTTGTATGTTTGCATATCCTCTGACTATCACCACATCCAGATGAGAGCTCAGTGAGTACAGGAACTTTTGTTTCCATGTTCTCCATGCTTGGGGCAGAGAGCACTCAACACACAGTTGTTGACTGAATAATGAAGAACAAATTGGGATATATTTGTTAAAGGCCTTCTCAATGTGAAGAGAGATGTAAACATTTGACAGTCTTCCCAAGTCTCTGTGCTCTAACTTGAACTCCAGTCTTTGGATTCTGAGGCTTGTCTCTTCATTCTTGCAGTGTGTACCCTGTGTCACTATGCACAATCATTTTCACGCTTTTGAAAAATAATGTTGCTTTAAGGAAATAAATCCTTCAAAGGCTTAGAGCCAAAGATGCCCTGTCCATCTCTGCAGAAACTCCGGTCTTTTTAAAAATAACATCTGTATGCATTCTTTGAACATTTTATATATTTATACAATTTATTTCAATCATATTCCTCCACTACTACCTCCCTCCAAACTCCCCCGATGCCATTTCTCCATCTCCCTCCCAACTTTATGCTCTCTCTCTCTTTTATTATAGTTTAGAGCAGATGAAAACTTTCATTTAAACTTAAAGCTAACTTCTGGGATATTTCTGATCCACATTAATATATTACCAACACACACCCACACATTCACATTGGAGTGTACACACGGAGGAGAGTAGAGAAGGAGAGAGAGAGAAGGAGAGAGAGAGAGAGAAAGAGAGAGAGAGAAAGAGAGAGAGAATTCTTTTTGCTGTTTCTTCAGAGCAAAATGTCAAAGCAAAACAAATAATCCAGGGGGGAAAGTTTATAAACTTTCCAACTCCTTTCAGTTAGAAATTCAGAATTCTAGTAGCTGTATAGAAAGATATTTCTATTTCTTTTTAAACATTATGTGCATTATTTAAGGATTACCTTAAGTCTCCTGCCAAGCATGTTTCTCAAGCCTGGTGTTACTACGAGGAGAGGTTCTGTTCAGCTAAGTTAATGGTGATACCTTTGACTAATTATCTAGGACAAAGTAATGAACTCCATTTTATAGTTTATTATCATTCCCATCAATATACTTATTTTCCTTTTTGCCTATCGCAGAGAGAAAAGCAGAGGGATTTAATTTGATTTACAGGGGGAAAAACAACCCTAAATGTACTTTTTTCAGTCGGGGGGTGGGGTGGGGGGATGGGGCAAGGCGACAAGGCCAGCCAGCTGGTTTCCATCTATCTGCCATAATTTCTGTTTAGTTTACACTATTAAACTCCAGCGCCTTGCTTTCATCTTAACTGTTATAGTATGCCTTATTGCAGATCCTAGCATGTTGCATCCTGATAGGGTTTCAGACTTTGGCAAAGCACCATCCCTCACATTGGTCGTTGCCATATGGGTAGTAAATGCCTCTAGCATTTTTTCACTGGCGCCTGCATCATTATGCTTTGCCACCACTGCTTTCTTGGGTTTTCAGCAAACCTCTGTGGATTCGATGGTTTGAAGGTATCAAGCGGATCTATGGTGATCTGTACACAGCCAGGTCCCAGTCAGGACCTCCTAGTCCTGTAGATGACCTCACATCTGCTTGTTGGAGGTGGCAGGGAGGCAGTAGCAGTAGAGAGAAGCCACAAAGAGAAAAGAGCCGAATGCAAGCACAACCAAGGCCAGGAAAACTGGAGCCTTAACCCTGGTGCAAGAAGAGGGGTGAGGAGTCGGTCCCTACCTGATCTGTCTTCGTTTTGTGGGTCACATCTTCTGCACAGTTCTGGGATGGTCTTGAGAGATGTGACTGAATACTGAATGGGAAGACAGAGGAAGAAGGGTTAAACAGATATTTAAAATAATGGCATTCACTCAACTCGTCCAGAAAAAAAAAAAAAAAAAAAAAAGAAAAGAAAGAAAGAAAGAAAGGAAGGAAGAAGAAAGAGAGATAAATACAGGAAATAAGGCTTGAGTATAACAGACATATTCAGGAAGTGGACCCTATTGTGATCTGACAGCACCCCAAGTTCTAGCAGTGAGCATCTCAGCAGACACAGGTTAGAAAGAAGCCTAGCGGCTCCTATTTGATGGGCAAAGTAAGATGTATCCGACAGCTATTCTGTCTCTCAGCATTTCGAACTGAAATACAGTCAGAATTGTTGAACCTTGAATATTTCCAGGAGACACTATTTGTTTCCTCAACCTGAAGTGCTAGCTAGCCACAAATGCGAAAAGCTTAGTGGGTGAGCATTAGGCTACCTCAACATCCCATCCAGGGTAAAAGAGGCATGTCTGTGCTGATGTGGGCCACACTACATAAAATCCCAAAGCTGGGGAGATGGCTCAGTGGTTAAGAGCACTTACTGCTCTTGCAGAGACGACTGGTTCAGTTCCCAGCATTCTTGTGGAGGGCCACAATTATTTATAGCTGCTTTCAGAGATCCAACACCCTTTTGGCCTCTGCAGATACCAGGCACTCCCGTGCAGTGTACATACATACCTAACACTCATACACATAAAATAATATAAATATACCTTTTTGTTTTTAGGTCCAAACAGTTGCTGTAAGCTGAAGATTTTACTGTGTCTTCATGGCAAATACAGAGGTTATGTCATTAAAGAGAGGGACATAGGTCTGTTTGAAAGCTCTTCCCTCCCATAGATTAGTTTGGAAGGAAAGACAGCCCCTTTTAGTTGCCATCATAGCGTCAAGTTCAGAGCTGGCTATCAAGATAACAAATTATGACATGGGAGGCACAAAAACACATGTAAAATCAATAGCCATGATTTATGGGGCCTATATTTGATAGCCATCAATTTGTCTTGAGAGAAGGATATGCTCAAACAAAATAAATAGAATGAATAGCATAGAATGAAGTCTTTAATCAAAGGTAAGCCGAAGACTATCTTCAGTCATGCTCACACTGTAATCCATAAAACACAATTTTCTCAAAATGTTTCACTCTGTATCTCTAAGAACAGGCACAGCTCATGAATTACCTCTCCACTGGAAATTCCGAGGCAACTGAGGAAAAAAATAATTTAATCTAAAAGAAAAATGACCAAGGGAAACCCATTAGTATTATTCTAGAATCACAAGTGAGAACTGTATAATTAGAATGCATTTTTCAATGCAAAGGTACGTTAGTTGGCATGATGTTGATAGATAGACCTCCAGGGCTCCCACAGAACATCAGCAAAGCAAAACAGAAGGAGTAGGAGCTAGCTGCTATTGTCAGTTTGCACATCACAAACAAATTAAGTTTCCAGTATTTCCAAATGAACAATGAAATCTCAGAAGACTAATTAGAGAAATTATTCTTACTTGTCTGATGCAATAGCATCCTGTTTATATTGGCCATTCATCAGAGACTACAGGTGTTTCAGTAAGCATGAGGAAGGGGGGCCTCTTAAACCAGAATTGAGCCTCAAGACAACTTTTCCTTCTACAGTATGCTGTGTGTGTGTGTGTGTGTGTGTGTGTGTGTCCAGGTTTGTGGTGCGGGGGGTTCAGGGATAATTTAGATGGAAGCATCGTCTTGGTAATAACAAGGTACCTCATGTTCCTGATCAAGTACGAGCTCTCTAAGGAATCTGGTAGCTTTCTGAGACCAGCTGGCGCAGGTTATATAATTACACAGTTTATAATTCAATTAAAATTAGGCCTTTGTTTTGGTTGCTGTACCCCATGAAACCCCCTTTGGCAAAGTGTCAATCTTTCCTATTCCCCTCCCCACTATCACTCACTCTCTTTCTACCCTCCCTCTCCTCCCCTCCCCTCTCCTCTCTGCTCCCCTCTTTGGCTTTTTCCCCAAGGCAACATTTTAGAAAAGAGAAAATTGATTGTGTATAACTATAGGCAATGATACAGCAAGGATTTCTCATTGGGCTTAAAGGATACATATGTGATTAAAACAGGTGGACCCCACTGTCTGCATCCTAGGCATGTGCATCCTAACGCACACCTGAAAGCCAGACTCACTGCTCACTAGGATGTGAGCTTTATTAACTGCAGGTCCAACTCTTCCTGTTGGACTGTAATGACCCATAGTAGCCATTGAGGTTAAGTTTTCTGAGATTCAAATTCTAACAGCACAGGGTATTTAGCTGGTGTATAGATAGAGTATCACAGAAGACTCTGGAGATGGGGGCACAGATCTGTAATTCTAGCACTGGGTGGCAGGGGCAGGCAATCCCTGAGTTCAAGGCCAGCCTATTCTATATAGCAAGTTCCAAGCTAGTCAGGGTGACACATTGCCTCGAAACAAAAGCACAAAACAACAACCCCCCCAAAAAAATCAAGCAATTGACCAACAATCAAAACCAAGATAAAAAAAAAAAAAAAAAAAACAGAGTCACAGAGATGGTGATATACATGCTGTGGCTTTGCCTATTGTGAAAAAGGATGTTTCTTTTGTGAAGGCTTATAGGTATATATTTGAATTCTTCACAGCACAACCATTAAGAAATAACAACCCTAAAGAAAAAGTGATATGCTGCTCCTGAGAACAGAAATAAAAAAAAAAAAGCAAGCTAAGAAAAAAATAAAGTGTCATCTAGAAAATTACATTTTGGAGCAATTTTTAGGGTGCATGGAAGGTCACATTCATCTGTGACACTGCCTATGCATTCTTTATAAAGTCTATGCATTCTTTATAAAGTCTATCATTCTTTATAAAGACAGAATAAAATAGTCATTTGAGGACTTATTTATGTAAACACAAACACTACAAGGGAAGATTTAATACGATAGACTGATCTAAAGATAGTTACATTGTGATTGGAAGAAATGCATAGGAAACATGTTTCACAAAAGCAACATGCAAATATTATTTTCATACTTGGAAATTTGAGAATGAGCCCATGACTCAGGATGTCTCTCTTGCAAGAATACATTGTGCTACCATCTGGGAGTTGAAATGGAAGGCTTCCCAGACCATTGTTGAAATTCACAGGACAGATGGCTCTTTAGAAGTAACTGTCAGATGGCTAATCTATTTCATTTATAGGACAATTACTAGTAGTAACTCCTGCCACTTTGGACTGACCAAACTAAGACCAATGCATTCTCTTCCCATTTACTCTCCAACCCAAATTGTTAGCTTGTTCTCTTGATTCTGTTATCCTTGGGTGGTACAAGAGAGTGCTTTTCCTTTTACTATCTTATCCTAACATCTTCCTTTTCTTGAACCCTCCCAATGGTCATTGGCTGTAGAAACAGCCTCTTTGATCAAATCTTTAATACTGCTCTGCATTTTAAGAGCTCCTGGTAAGGTTGATCAGTTCTCCCAACTGTTACAATGCCTCTGTAGAACCTAAGTTTATTTCTCTATTCCTTTTAATCATTGTCTGCAATGTTTTCCTCCAACCATACAGTACCACTGTCCCAAAAGGTCAGCATGTACTCTGCCTTCTCCAGGGGAGTTCTTACTAATGCTTCTCTTTTATGTCCCAAGTAAATGCCTGCAGTGTTTTGGGCTTGGCTCTTTCCTCTGTTTAACTATCAGCTCCCATATGCAGAGGAGGAAAAGGACATTATCTTTGACTTGTATGTGCACAGGGGCCGATTAACTGCCTGAACTACCAACATGTGCATAGACTGCACTAAATCCTGGGCATAATAGTGTAGATTTTCAAAAGTTTAAGAGCCTTAAAGTTTAGGCAGTTAGTATGAATTTCCTCTGAGCCTTCATACTGGCATTGTAATTCATCCATTTTCTACAGTTCAAATTTGACTTGAGCATGTCTCTGTTTCAACCCTTCAGTGCCCCTGCAGGAGCTATAGGAGAGACCATGTGCCTTAGTGTGACATATGATCGGTCTAATCTCATGCTCTCCTTCACTTCTCTTTGTGGTAACAAGAAATTTCTTATAGCTCCTTTATCTACTGTTTCTCCTTTGTCTTTATGAATGCTACTCTATCTACCCAGAATGCCATTCCTCCCATTTCAATAGGAAATTTCCCTTTAATTCTTTCAGCCCTGCCAGGGTATCAGCTCTATAATGTCCTCTATGACTCTCTCAGATAGAAGGAATGTCAGCATTCAAAGTGTGCCCTCTGGACCAGCGGCATCAATGCTTTCCATGAATTCCTTCGACTTGGGATTCTTGGAAGCCAAGTTAGAGCTACTGAGGGAACACTTATTTTGGATCCAGGAATCAGCTTGTAATGAGACATTCAGGCAATTCTGATACATAGCAGGATGTATGAAACTTCAACTTAACCATACACATGCCATCCTGTCTTCACACTAATGTAAATGCTGTCATTGCTTCTTTAGGTGACCAAAAACTTATTGAATGGATTAAATGAACTCATTTAAGTAGTCTATGACTTTAGCAGTCATGTTAACAACAGTTTACATTTATACAAAAGCAATCTTAGAAAAATCAATAATTATAAACCTCACAACATTTAAAAGAATAAAATTCTCACTACATCAACATGACTGCTGGCAGTTGTCCTTTTGTATAAAGGACAAAGACTTGAGCCAGGAGGTCTGGATTTATGCCATGGCTCTGATGTTTAATATCTCTATGTTTCCTACCTCTGAGGCTTGGCTTCCTTACCTGTAAACCATGGGTCCCTATATGAGGTAATGAAGGTGGAGTTGTCTTGCAAACTGATTTGTGCTTGGAGATATGTTTGTCTCTAATCTCTAACCTATTTTCTGTGAATGTGCCACAGGCTTTCCTTCCTCGTCTTCATTCCTGTCAGGACGTTAAACTCAGGAGAGCAAGAAAGGAGCAGGAATGAGCTGAGACTGGAAATGAACAGGAAGATGCCTCAGTTCACCTCTGCACCTTATGTGAG